TTCTGGACTAGCATCCTAGTTTTATTTTAATTTGTTTTTTTAACTATTTGAAAAAACGTGTTCATGCGTTTTGACTTGTATACGAGTTCTATTGTATATTCTAAACTACAGCATTTGCCATGGGACAATGTCAAAGCAATTTGACTTATTTTATCATTGAACAACGTGCCGCAGTAACATTTAATTTTGACCCTGTTGAACATCGACACCAGGGGTCTAACGGATTCTGATCAATTTTCAACGTTGAAAATCGACCCCTCTACGTTGTATAATGACCCACGCGTGTAAAAGTGACCCAAGTTGAAAAATGATCAACTACAGACTTGCCATTAGAGATAAAATAATAATGCCAAAACATGCCTATAATTGGTCATAGTATGAACAGAAATATTTCTGTATTCCTTTCAGATTTTCAAGTGATAAAAATATATTTATTCAATAAAATCAAGTTGAACAGGAGCTAAATTAAATAACATTTTGCCAATCCATCGGCAAAAACTGATAATGGACGGCTAGTTACATGGTACTTATGTAGTGAACTATAATAACATTGCGAAATAATATATGTTTATATTTTATCCGCTATAAAAGGCAGTCACTTGCTATTATTAAAGTGAATGCATCTACAGATATCACACCATTTAAAACCCATCTGTCCCTATAAGAACGATAAGGAATTAAAACCGCCGTGTTATTGGAGAGGTCATCAGACCTCTCCATAGTGTTCAGACTGATCGCTGGCGGCATCCATTTTTGCGTATATGATTGTAGTAAATGAATCTCATTTACAGCTCTAAACTATTAGGAGCAGTCTACAAAATGTGTTTCGCGCATGCTCCGTTTCAAAATACGACTTAATTTAAACGAAAAATTAACATCGAAGTGGACGAATCGGGACATAGAAAAATCGGAAAATATCATTTACGTTACTTAGCGCTACGTAGATTTTCATACCGTTCTAATCTTTTAAACTGTACAAATCGATTACAGTATTGTTTTCTGAATAGCGTTTTACTATTTCTTGTTCCGATAAATAGTAACAGTGACGAAAAATAGTAACAGAGAACATTATAGCTACAATAACACCATGCACTATTATAATGACCGAGTGAACCGCGTACCGAAATTTTGCTGCTCCTTAAACGCAACGGGGATTTTTGGCGCAAATGGCAAAATTTGACACAAGTTTTATTTTCTTAAAATATTGTGGTTGGAGGCATGCAGCTTTATATTCTGTTTATTCCAATCAAATGATATACAACATTTTTTATGTAAATCCTGGACTTAAAATTGTCTGATAAACATACTTTATGCCCGTTTTGGAAAATTTAGAGGAAATGTTTCCATATATTTGACAAAACATTAACCGAAAATATGCTTATTGAATTTTACAAGAAAATTTTATTTTGATACTACTTTTAATATACATATCATTTATTTTAAATTTAGTTCCCTTTGTTGAAAAAGTTTCCCTAATGCGCCAAGAAAAAAATCCATTTCTCCGGTATATAATCTTTCAAAACATTAAAAAATGAGGTGTAAAACAAACTTTCATTATGATACTATATATTCAATTTATATAATAAATTATATTTTGTTAAATAATTGTTATTTTTAACCATTCATTGTGTCTTTTTTTAAAGATTTTCAAATTAAACAAATCTTCTACAGCAGCAAAAATACCTCTCGCATGGTTCTTTTTAAAGAAGCAAACTTTTATTTAAATCTCTTATAAAGTCGGAATGCGAGTTCATTGATCAAGGGAAGTAACCGCTGCGAGAAGTGTAGGGTATCAGTAACGGTTATTCCCCTGGTCAATACAGAAAAGTGAATAGCAAGGTGCGAAGACGTTGATGTAGCAGACGTAAAATATTTACTGGCATGAGATAAGACGCCGTTGACTGTGTACATGAATTTAGGGTTAAATAGAAATGTTGAGTAGGACAAGAAAACAAGTCATAAATTAAAGTGCACAACTTTTATGACCAAATGCATACCTTATTTGAGTACATAGTAATGTATAACTATCGGTTTTAGGCACGGGAAGATATTAATATATCTATGGGTATACAGTAGATCATTTTATTTATACACACCATATGAAATATATTATCGTTCTAAACACAATGTTAAGAGAATATTTCCTTAAACCACGGCTAGCTACAAACATTCTTATGAATTTCAACAGTTGAGTATACCATTAGTAAATTGACCATTATCATTGGTCAAAAATCCTGTGAGGAAGTCTCGATGGGCATGTCGGACTCATACAACATAGACCCATCAGTTGGAAATCATTGTCTTAATCTTTTGTATCGAACATACAGATTATCTTGCCTTTTTCGCCGAAGCAGTAGGAATAGGCCTTGACTCTGCTAAGTTATGTTTGTGAAATCATTTTTGTGACTCATATTTGAGAGATTCTGTTTCTTCTAAGCGTTTCTCGACTACAAACAAACGTTTGATAAAATTTAAATTACCGTAAAAATAACCCTTATCTGATAAAAATTTAACGAATGATCAGTTCTCAAAGACTTTTTAATCAAAATTAAATTGTTGGCAGTTGGTTCAGTTTTCAATATTTAAAAAAAAAACCCATAGGGTATAATTTAAACGTGCTAAAAAATTTAATGTTACACCGGACAAGAATCTGTGTTTTGTTTACACATTCAAATTGTTTCACATACCATTTCCATGGACATACCTATTAATGGTTAATTATCAAAGCCTTTTAAAAAATAAACATAATTATAATTTTGAAACGACCAACTGCTTCACAGGATAAGCAGCTGTGATATGTCAGTTTTGTATATTTTACAACTTGTACACAGGTTTTGGGGGCAGATCTCTGAAATTTTTCTTGGAAATAAGAAGTGAGTTAGGTAACAGATAATTTAATCTATAATTGATTTTTCATTTTTATTTTGAGACATTCCTTTTACTTATTCTTATTATGCAAATGGACGAGAGTGTATAAATTATTTAAAACCTTTATTCGTTGGTGTACGAACAAGGTGTTCGTTTTGCTACTTTTGTCTTGCAGGAAACGAAACATGAAGGCCAACTGCAAACTGAAGATGAAGCACATAAAGTGCAATCTGTTACAGTGCAATTTACTCTAACGCTAGAGAAATGAATACAAATGAAACGGAAGTCTTAAATATAAAACGCAGACAGCAAAATCATTTTAAAAATGATCTTTATAACGTTTCGTCAACTTTTTAATCTTTGCTTTGTGATTATAGTTGCCCATAACTTAAATTGATGATTAGATGTTATTTTTCTTGGTTCATCACCTTTTCTGTAAGCATCCTATAAAAAAACAAGAGCTGGTGTTTTTGATTTGTTTTAGACTGAAAACCATAATGTACTGAAATCTACAGTCGTATAAACATTCCTAGAGAATAACGCGTGTTTACTTATTGTTTAAATAACGAACATATGTCATTTACTGTGAATATCATGCTTTTTTCCATTGTTATAAATATAACGAAGTAGGCCAATAATACTTATTAAAATACTATGAAGGGAGAAATAATTTAACTGATTTTTACCCATGAATGAATTCAAGCTGTAAAACAACGATATGTAATGTCTGTGTTTATATACACCAAATTATTTGTATATCGTATGATTATTATCGAAGGATGTAAAATGATTCTAGTCTCATGTTGCATTGTATATTATGGGCCGATGGCCTTCTTATGAAATAAATCCGATGGCCTTCTTATGAAATAAATATGTTGTAGTTGTTGTTATTTATCAACTGAACGACATGTCATATCAACCCTTTATCAACTTATATATTTATTGTTTCGCCCTTTATCTTTCACAAGCTATGCAAATTGTAATATTTTTACATCGAACCATTTGTTGGGCATTGAATTATATGCACATAGGATATTTTATGGCCGAGATGATCGGTTCATAACGCCCCTTGTGAAAACAAAGAATTCACTAACTTTTTCATATCAGCTTAATGTATGCCATTGTCATTGTTTTATTCCCGTGAACTCCACAACAATGAACTCAAGTTAATCAACGATGCTTCATCTACGTATATTCTTTGATTGACCTACAAGAGTAATGCTTATATTTTGGTGAATTTGTCTATAAACGGCTTTACTTTGTTATGAATGGATGTATTGTATTATTGGAAATAAGAACACTAAAAACATTACTTTAAAGTAGAAAAAGCTGAGTTTTACCTAAAACTGACCTTAACCTTTAAGGTCAAATTATTTCTTTTTGCTAAAATGTGTCATATTTTGGTAACTTATTGATGTATTTGATACAGACTTGAACATAACAAGACATAAAATTGTCATGTTTTGCAACTACTGTATAACCTTGACCATTAAATGATTTTAATATTTATTGTCAAATTGTTAAATTGTGCCAATGTTGAACAACCTTGGCATCATTTGATGTTTCGTAAACTTTCTTTGGCATAGCTACCTTTTCGTTGATATATATAAGTTGGAATCTAATCATAAAATTTACCTTGACCTTACCATGACTTCGACATCTATGGTATATTTTTTTTTTCTAAAACTAGCTATTACTTATTTTAGTAATGGAAATATTTGATTGATGTTTAAACAAACCAACACTTACTATACACTTGCTATATTAATCAATTTAGTAACGACCTTGACCTTCAAATGTCATAGACATTAAAGGCGATATTATTGAATTTGTTAAAATTGTCATAATTGTGTTAATTATAGACTGATTTTGATTGATGGTTTGACTAACAACCACTTAGATTTAAAATGTCAAGTCGGGCAATTCAAAATCATTATGTAATTTATTAGAAAATAAAGTTATGTTATTTTAAAAAAAGAAAGAATAAAACAGCAGCTTTGGTTTAACATGTTCTTATGTAAAGATTGTTAAAGAAATAATTATGTACACTATTAGGTGTCGTTTTGTGGTATTGACTATTGATTTTTCTAAATATAATATATTATGCTAATCAATAGTCTTCTTACGTAATATGACATTGACTTTTCTAAAACAAATATTGTGTTTATCTGAACAAGTTGTTTGGGTCATTTAATTTATAAAACATCAAGAATTAACTCAGATAATATTATGCAAGGCATAAATCGTATTAAGAGTAAGTATTTTATTTTAATATTTTCTTCTTAATTTACGTTGGTGTTTTATCATTTTTGTTTTTATTTTGCTATTTTATGAAGTTTTTTAAGTTGTTCATTTAAACCGAAAGTTCAGTGTTTGGTATATACGTACTTATTGTTAACGAGTTTCTTTGTGAACATATTATTCGGTCGTCACATAACTTAGATAGTTCTTATCTCAAATAAAGAACAGGTTAGTAACAAAGAAAACAGTACAGCTCACTACAGCCGCGGTGATAGCTCTGCCCAATAGTTATTAAGTTCTTAACTCAAATAAAGCAGGGATATAGCCTTAAAGAATACAGCAGAGTGATATTTCTAACATTTCTTATCTCAAGTAAAGCACAGTGACAGTCTCATGTGATATAGTATATCCCAGACATCCCAGAGTGATTGCAATATCTTATATCTCTTATCTTAAAAACGCAAGGATAACAGTTCAGCTCACTAAACTCACGATGACGGCTCTGACTAATAGTTCCGAACTCAAATAAACCATGGTGATAGTCTCCATGGATACAGTTTAGCTCACTAAACCCGCGGTGACAGCTCTTTCTTAAGGTTCTTCTCTCAAATAAATCATGACAATAGCCTCAAGGAATACAACAGAGCTCACTAAACCCACGGTAATAGCCCTAGGTAATATCATTATCTTATTATTTCATTGAAGTTGTAATTGTCAATGACTCTCTTGATTGGCCGACTGCCTTTAATTGATTGGTTAAAATGTCTTCAATTTATAATGCTGTATAAACACTCTTCTATCAGAAGCTGAAACAAAACATAAATTAATTTTAAAGACTTTTATGTTGATTCTATTGAGTAATTAATAAATGAATTATCGCAAAAAGGGATTTTTCACCGATAAATTAACAGAGTATGTGCTTGCTTAGAAATTTAACAGCATCATTCCTGACTTTTACATATATAATTCGGTCGCCACATAACTTGTGTATTTAGCATTTTTAGTAAAATTGTTTGAATCTTGAATTATATTTTTTATAATCCCATAAAGAAAACAAAATCATCATCGAACCCTTAAATTGTCCAATTTTAAAGACACTAAGCTAACTGTTGATGGAATTCGGCAGGAATGTGTATTTCAAGCAGGAAATGATTAGCACTCAAGTTCACATGTGTGAGTAATTCAACTTCATAACTCTGAATTATTTGTTTCATGTATAATGAATTTATAAATAGGAATCTACAGATGCCTTGTTGAGTTATTGCCCGTTGTCATTTTAAATATACTGTATTTGAGAAGCAAAAGTTATGTCCGGAGCAATATCTTAGTAAAGAAAAGGCAAGGATACCTTCCTTTGAGGTTCACCAATTCTACATATTTTAAGCATGCGGATCTTAGAAGTACCGTGATTTTAAGTATATTGTCGTGAAATCTTTATTAATATATACATGTTTATCTGGCTATTACCATTAGCAATGAGTTATGTAAATCATGTTTCTTCCATCAGTGCATTCACATTATATAATGATCAAAATTTGAATGCTTCACATGACCTAATCATGCTTCTGGAATCTTTAATTAAAGAAAGATGATAAAAACGCATGTTGATGTATCTTAAATGTATAAAATTACAATCACTATAAATACATGTATAATAAATTGATAATAATCCATCGTTGGTACTCAGTAACAAATAATCTTTTGTTATGTAAAAATGCTCTAAATCTACAAATTTTGTTTCTGTTGTTTCAAGTGTTCATGTGAAAAATTAGTTATCAATAGAGTTTTAGTTTTAATGATAGTACAAATTTGATATAACTTTTACATATTGAAAACCTTATAGCTTTAAAATGTAAATGCATTGTGATTTTTATTACCGAAATCAAATTTCAAATAACTTGTGTGAAACACATGTATATCAGTGTACATGTGACAGGTTTACAATGATCATAATTCTTTTTAAAGATAAAAATGTAACAGGAAGAAGAATAACATAAGGCAATATTGGATTTAGCGGTAATCGATACCATTTTTTGTTCTTTTTATATATTATGGTTTCGAGACATTTTGACCTACACGTTTGAAAAAAAAATGTAACTATACAGCAAATCATACCACACACATTAATTCCCATTGTAAAATTTTATTATATAATTTTTATACATGTATAGTCAAAAACTTATAAAGACATTAAAATCCCTGCGTATTATTTGTATGAATGACTTTATCTTTTGATAAAAAGCATACGAATATACGAATAAGATCTATTGAAATGTATATATAGATAGTTATTTAATTTTCATATCTTCGTAAACGTCTCCAAAGATTATGTATATCAAAATATTGAAATATGATTTACAATGTGGCCATACCACATGACTTTTAGGGTACTGTACACGAAGAGTTTTCACCTTATTCGGGTATGATTTTGGGAAATAACTTTGCTGTTACTCAACCGATTTTGATCAGATACGGCGCAGAATAATACCAGCTATCATATCATCTACCCACGGTTAATCAAAATTTGTAAACCCCTGAATAATTTTTGAGAACATTCGAGTACAGTTTTGTTCATAGCTGGGGCCAAGGGGAATGGTATTACCATTACCGATTTTTAGCAAGTCTTCTGGGTTTTTTTCGGCCGGAGGTCGTCTGATTTCGATTGGACTTCCTATAAAATTTACAAAAACTGAATATATGTTAAAATTCCATTGGTCCTTTTAAAATAAGAATCTGAAATCTAGGAATTTAATTGGCCATTGTAAAATAAGTAAACTAACACAAAGGATTTTTCTGCCATTGTTTAATTTTTTTATTAATCTAAAGGAGTTCTAGAAACAAATCATTTACATTCATAAGTTCTTTTACTATCAAGTTAATTTTTAGATACTTAAGTTCTGTTTAACTATGCCTTCTCCTACACATTATAATTCTAGATAACAATGCATCCAAAGATTGTTTTACGCTGCTTAAATGAGTCATAATTGTTTTTAAAAAAATGACGAAACCACCATTCCTAAACAAAAAACAGTGTTTCGGGGCTAACTATAGTAATTTTTCACTGTTTGAGGCCTCAAAACAGATATGGGGTCGAAAAGCCGTCAAAACACGTGTCTATAATTATGAGGTAAAGGGTTAACAAAAATGATGAAAAACCTTGAAATTACCCAAAATTAAGTTTTTCCACGTAAACATGTGGCCTTTCACCTAATTTTGGTGAAAAATTGTTGTTTTGTAGCATTCTTAATTTCTGTAATTACTGTAATTAACCCTTTCTCTCGTATTTAATCCTTTCTCTCGTATATTAAGCATATTGTAAAAATGGCCGTTTTCATTGAAAAGCCTCCTGTTACAAGTTCAAACTGCTATGCAACTATAAATAATGCTTCAATACTAATCAAACTTGGCACAAATGTTGACTGGACTATTGCCTTTGTAACGACATGGGGTGGTTTTTCACTGTTTGAGGCCTCAATAAAAGGGAGGGAGTCGAAAAGCCGTCAACACCCGTCTATATGAAGTAAAGGGTTAACAAAAAATGATTAAAAAAAACCCTTGATTTTACCCAAAATCTAGTTTTTCCATGTTAACATGTGGCCTTTCGTCTAATTCTGGTGAAAAATTGTTGTTTTGTAGCATTTTTAGTTTTTTTTATTAACAAAAAATGATGAAAAACCTTGAAATTACCCAAAATCTAGTTTTTCCATGTTAACATGTGGCCTGCCACCTAATTTTGGTGTAAAGTTGTTGTTTTGTAGCATTTTTAATTTCTGTAATTAACCCTTTCTCTCATGAGCATATTGTGCAAAATGTCAGTTTGCACTGAAAAGCCCCCTGTTACAAGTTCAAACTGCTATGAAACTATGAAAAATGCTCCAATACTAATGAAACTGGGCACAAATGTTGACTGAACCAATATTTTTTCAAGGACATGCTAAGTTTTATATTTCCTGTTACCATGGCAATTAGGGGTCATCTCAAAATTACGAGAAATCACTTTTCTGCGTAGATGTTTTCCATGAAAATTGATTTCAAAGTACTTCAACTTCTCAATGGATTGAGATAGTGTCGAAGGCTTTTTACACAATAACTTACGATCGACCATGGGTTATTTTTAGCCTCTCACAAGTTCAAATTTTTTGGCGATCAGGGGGAAAACTGCCCCCTTCGAACCCTCTAAACAGAAGGGGGCACATCCCCCTTCTGACGACCCCCTAATGTACCTTTTGATAGGGGGCGGCACCGAAAAATTATCACTATTTAAGCAGAATTTCCCAAACGAAACACCGTGTTTGGGCCTAACTAGTGTAATTTTTCACTGTTTGTTGCATCAAAAGGATGGGGGTCGAAAAACCGCCAAAACACGTCTATAATTATGAGGTAAAGGGTTAACAAAAAATGATGAAAAACCTTGAAATTACCCAAAATTTAGTTTTTCCATGTTAACACGTGGCCTTTCACCTAATTTTGGTGAAAAATTGTTGTTTTGTAGCATTTTTAATTTTTTTTATTAACCATTTCTCTAATGAGAATATTTTGAACAATTGCCGTTTTCATTGAAAAGCCTCCTGTTACAAGTTCAAACTACTATGAAACTATGAAAAATGCTTCATTACTAATCAAACTTGGCACAAATGTTAACTAGACCATTGCCTTTGTAACGACATGCTATGTCTTAAATTTCCTGTTACCATGGCAATGAGGGGTCATCTCAAAATTGCCAGAAATCACTATTTTTCGTAGATTTTTTTCCATGAAAATTGATTTCAGAGTGCTGCAACTTCTCAATGAATTGAGCAAGTGTCAAAGGCTTTTCAGCGTTGGTTACATATTACATTACGATCGACCTGGGGTCATTTATAGCCTCTCACAAGTCCAAATTTTTTTGGCGATGAGGGGGACTACTGCCCCCTTCGAACCCCGCAAACAGAAGGGGGCACATCCCCCTTCTGACAATCCCCTGATGTACCTTTTTGATAGGGGCGGCGCTGAAAAAGTGATCACATTTTTAGCAATATTTCCCAAACGAAAAACAGTGTTTGGGGCCTAAATAGGGTAATTTGTCACTATTGGAGGCCTCAAAAAGGATATGGGGTAGAAAAGTCGTCTAAACACGTCTATATGAACTAAAGGGTTAACAAAAAATGGCGAAAAACCTTGAAATAACCCAAAATTTAGTTTTTCCATGTTAACATGTGGCCTTTCACCTAATTTTGGTGAAAAATTGTTGTTTTGTAGCATTTTTAATTTTTGTAATTAATTCTTTCTCTCATGAGCATATTGTGAAAAATGGCCGTTTTTATTGAATAGCAACTTTTCCCAAACGAAAAAGTGTTTGGGCCTAAATTGGATAATTTTTTCACTTGAGGCCTCAAAAAGGGGGAGGGGCTCGAAAAGCCTTCAAAACACGTCTAACACGTTTGTAATCACGATTTACCTATGTGTGTACATGTTATTAAATAAACTCTGTTCTGTACAAGTTTGCTTCTTTTAAAAGAAGCATGCGAGAGGTCTCTTTTGCAGCTGTGGAATATTTGTTTAATTCGAAAATATTTGGGAATATTTGTTTGCATAAAAGGCATAATGAATGGTTATAAATTACAATTTTTTAACAAGATATAATTTATTATATATATTGAATATAGTATAATAATGAAAGTTTGTTTCATACTAAATTTCTTTTAATGTTTTGAAAGATTATATGCCGGAGAAATGGACTTTTTTTTGGCGCATTAGGGATACTTTTTCTACAAAGGGGACAATTTATGTTATGTCATCAAACTAAATCGGGCATAAAGTATGTTAATCAAACAATTTTAAGTCCCAGATTTACATAAATATGTGTATATCATTTGATTGGAATAAACAGTATGTAAAGATGCATGACTTCAAACTTGAGTAAAATTTGTGCTATTTGCGCCAAAAATACTACGTTGCGTTATTTAGTCATACCGGTTTAAAAGTTAAAGGAGCAGCAAAACTTCGGTATACGGTTCACTCGGTCATATAATAGTGCATGGTGATATTGTAGCTATAATTTTCAAAGTGACTATTTATCGAACATGAAATAGTAAAACGCTATTCAGAAAACAGTACGGTGATCAATTTATACAGTTTAAAAGACTAAAACGAAATGAAACACCCACTTAGCGCTTAGAAACGTAAATGATATTACCGCTTTTGCCATGTACCGATTTGTTCACTTCAATGCTAATTTTTCGTTTAAGTTAAGTCGTATTTTGAAGCGGAGCATGCTCACAACAGTTTTTGAAGACTGCTCCTAATGATTTTATGCTTTTCACTACAAATCAGATACGCAAAAATGGATGCCGCCAGCAATCAGTCTGAACACTGTGGAGAGGTCTGATGACCTCTCAAATAACCGCTGAAGATTGAATGGCTTGTTTATTATGAATGTGTGTCAAAGAACACGTATATTTTAGATTAGAAAGCTTACGTTCGGCTCTTTTTTTTAGGTTTCTTTCGTATTCGAGAATTACGTCAAAACGGAATGGTATTTTGGTATTTTATATCTTACCTATAGATTAAGTAAGATTTTGTCAATATCGTACGTATGCTTTTAGTTTTTCTTGCAGGTATACAGTGGAAAAATACCGAAACCTAATTGTGATATTAGTAAAATATGCTCTTTACCCCCCCCCCCCCCCAGTGACTTAATATTCGCGAAATTAGCGGTCACTATCATTGCACGAAAGTTTATCTCCGCGAAAATGCAATCCTTATGAAAAACGCAAAATATTGTCTCCGTGAAAGTTTCTGGGAATACAGTATTTATAGTAATGGACAAGGTTTTGTTAATTCGTAGATTCGGTTATTTCGTATCGACAAAATGTCATTTATAAACTTTCTATTAAAATTTCGATTTGATTAAACTTCAATTACTTAAATTTTTCTATGAGCTAAAAGGCATTCACACTAATAACAATAAAAGAATTCATGACGTAAAAAAGAACTGACACGAACACAATTGAGTAAGAAATAAATTGTTATGTTTGTAGTTCTTATTTGCTTCTTTATTTTTAAAGGATTTACTTCAGACTTTACATGTTGTTTCTACTCAAAATACTTCAAATGTGATTCTTTCACATAAATAGCGAACATATGCATATGAATTCAATATTTCAAAACTTTAAACGGAAATTCAATAATAGACCAAATATCAAAATCCTTGTGATTCTTTTTCCATGTTTCCTAAGATACGATGCAAATGAACCAGTTTTAGTTAGTCCAAGTATCTTTTTTAAAGATAATTCTTGTTTCCACTGTTTCATAGAACAATGAACCCTAAATCTTATAGATTGCTATGTATCTTGTAAATGCAGTGGTGTTTTAGCATATTTCATCATGGTACGGACAACACTGTTATTTTAAAGAATACGGTACACATAGATTTTCTGTCGTTTTAAAATATATCTGAAAATATAAATGAAAGTTTTTCTTCTTCTTCAAATTAACATATCTTATTTAATCATACGAGAACCCCGGGACTTGTATGTTGCAAGGTATCATGATACTTACCGCTTGATGCCAACATAATTATTTAAAGAAGAAACTAACACTTAAATAGAATTTGGCGCACAATTCGATTATAAAATGTTGTGCAATCTATACAAGTTACAACTGAAGAAGTGACCGATAGGAATTTGAGAAAACAAAATAAATATTGATAATTAAGATCTAACTTTTTTAAGAAATGCGATTTTACTCACACTTTTTATGTTACATTTAATCCAAACGGTGTTAATTAAATTATGTAGTAATATATTATAGTAAATTACATTAATAGATAGAAAATCAGTCAAAAGGCAATATGTAATTAGAATTTTCTATATTTTCATTGATTTAATACCTTCATTTTTAAAATAAAATATTGATGTGTTTCCTAATAACAGCGACTATCACTTTGACAAATCAGAACGTTGTAGAATTCTCACAAAAGTACACTACTGTAAACAGACGTACGCTACTGTTAGCACTGAATGAATGCCTTCAAAGGGCTCTCTTGTCGTTTAAATTATTGCCAACAGCTAGCATGGGAATAAGCCAATATAAAGATAAAATTTACTTCTAGAAGCTTACTAAAGTTTTTGAACTCTTGCCCGAACTTTAATGTAGACCGAAACAGCATTTATTAGCCAAAAATTGACGGACAATTAAACTATGATAATTGTCCGAATATTGTTACATGTGCTAGGTTCTAGGGACTTAAAAGGATGTTACCGAGGAAGTTCAAGGGTTTGCGTCATCATCTAATACAAATCGCTCTCGGACCCGATGTTATCTTCATAACCTCTGTTTATTTGATATATCTTTAATTAAAAATATCTAGTTCATGTAGCCTCGTTCTGATTTTCAAGTATTTATGTCAAGTCTATATTGTATTCATCCTGATCTTTTTTTCATTTCCGATGTCAAAATATACATATGTTATATATATATAATATAAATAAAGGAGGAAAAGAGGTGGATTTAAAAATTAATTATTGAAAAAAAGGACATTTTAAATATAAGTACTTCTAAACGTAAAATATCAACATAACACAATGAACACTATGTACAAGGGGTGTTCCAAAATTAATGTAACTCGGGTTGTATCTCGTAGAAAATCGTACTTTATGTAAACTCAAATCCAATACACGTCGATAGCGTAATAGTATTGAGTAGTATTGATCAATATCTCGCTAACAATTACACTAACCTTGGTACTAAGTACATTGTTTTGCAGAGAACTCGTTACACTCACATAAATATGGTTGGAAAGGGGTGAAATTAGGGCCTATATCAAAGTTAGGTCTCTGCTTGGCTTAAAGGCGAAGGATATTCATGGCGAGGTGTACGTTATTTATGGGGAGGGTCAAATATCGTATTTGACTGTTTGAAGGTGGGTTGGTCGATTTAAGTCGGGACACCAGCAGCTGAAAGATGCTGCTCACACAGGCCCCCTGCAACAACAACGACAAAACTTAACATTGAAAACATTTGACAAATTCTGAAGAAAGACGCAAGGTACACTGTCAGACAGGAAGCTAGAATGACAAACTTGCCTTTAGCACGCGTTCATTGCATTTTGAAAAAAAAAAACACAAAATTTTGTAACTGTGTGTTCCGTACGATTTAAAAATAAGATGATGAAATATGCTTAAACATCACTGCATTCAAAACATACATTAGACATAGTAAATCTATAAGAGTAGGAGTTCATTTTTCTATGAAACAGTGGGGAAAAACAGACGACTTGCTAGAAATCGCTTGTTGTGATAAATGTGTGTGAACCGTTCCCCTCGGCCACGGCAATGAAAAAATTGTACTCAAATGTTTTCAAAAACCATTCAAAGGTTTTTAAAATCTTGATTAACCGTGGGTACCTGATATAATAACAGGCACTCTGCTCCTTATCTGATTAAATTTGGTTGAGCAACAGCAGAGGTTTTAGTCAAAAACATACCGGGATCGGGTGAAAAAAAATCAGCGTGTACCGTACCCGAAATGTCACGTGGTATGGCCACATTGTTTAATGGGATATTTTATTTACTTTATGTGCTTCTTATTTCTTTTAAGCTTAACAATGCTGCGGTCTATTTGTTTCAAGAACTTCGTAAGGTTTGAAGAATATCAGTTGCTTGACTTTTCGGAAAGTGGACCTTTCATTTTCATAGGTGAAAATTGTTCGGGAAAAAGCTCTGTTTTTGAAGGTATCCGGCGATGTTTGAAGCTGCAGTACAGTTCATCAATATCTTCAGTTTATGATTCAAACCAACCATCATATTTCATTTGCAACTTTGAAACAGGTTTCACTGAAGATATTGAAAATAATATAATATGCGGTATAGTTTTACTTCCACCGACAAGCCAAAAGCACAAAGAGTGTGATGAAGATATCGAAAAACCAAATTCTGAAAATGAGATGAGTTGTGGAGAGAAACCAGATAGAAAACGAAAGAAACGAAAAAAATCAAGCAGTGTAGAAGAAACACCGATTCCAAAACAAAAACGTCAAAGAAAATCAAGTTTAAAGAATGAAAAGGGGCTTAGTGTAGAACGAACCTCAACGAACAAAAAAACATCGGATCGATTTTGTAGTGGAGAAAATGTTAAGCAATATAATCCAGTAAGACAATATAATACAACACGCTATTACAAATTTGCAATGAAATGCGCTGAATGTGATCCAGTGTTTATCAATTTAGTTGATAAATCTGAAGATGGAACTAATCTTATTATATGTAAAAGGTATAAAATAAGTCCAACTGACAATAAACAAGCACATAAACAATTCAAAAGCACAATTTTAGAACAAAAGTCAGAAAGCATTGGTGTAGACAATTATATACAAGCAATTTTTAAAAGTATCGACGAAATGCAAGAGGATATAAGCGAAGGATTAGAGTCAATATTGGACCCGTTAACGAAAGATCTTATTTTCACATTCCCTTTACGCTCGGTTGGGCCTTTACAATGGTCTGAAAGTAAACGCATTGCAAGTGAATATCGGGAGAGAAATTATACTGAAGCTGAAAACAGGTGTGAAATTATAAAATACTTCCTCGAAGACAATGGCGAAAAATTTGACAAAGAAAAAGAAGAAGAATATTTTAAACAGCTAACACAGATTGACGATTACCACTTTACGCTTGAAAATGGCAAGATCAACTTACCAAAGGGTAAATTTGCTTTGCTGAAAACGCCAGAAGGAATCTTAGAAGCAAAAGCATTTTCTATTATAATATCAAGTAAACAATACAAGACCATTTTGCTTGAGGAACCAGATAGAGGAATGCATCCGCAATTCGTGGAAAGAATGACACAAATAATTAATCAAGAGAATAAAAGTAAACGTGTTCTACTCATTACACACCAGAAAGGATTTATTACACCTCGAACAGTATCTGATACATTCATCTTCAGGTGTTCTGGAACAAGTCATCGAATCATATCTGGCAAGTCTATTCTTGAAAACGACGCAAATATGAAGAAATTGCGATTGTTGACATCGCATCATATACCTGACATTTTCTTCGCTCGAAAAGTTCTATTTTATGAAGGTGACTCAGAAGAACTGTTTCTAGGAGAACTTAAGAGCCAAATTCTTTCTGGAGATTGTAGTGTTACTTCAAAATTATTTGAAAAAGATGATGCTGTACTATTAAACAAACAGTTGAAGAAATGTCTTATTGAATATACTTTTATTAAAATGAATAGTAAAGACAATCGTAAATTTTACCAATCAATATGTGAACGACTAAAGCTAGATCATTTAGTTCTTGTAGACAGAGAAGCTGTAGCATACATGCTAGCGGATCGCAAACCAAGAAGAGAAAAGGAAAACGAAAGATTAAAGAAAAGATCACGAGAAGAATGGAAAAATATCAGAAGGGACATAAAAGAAGAACAGATCTTTTTCTGGTTAGATGGTAATATAGAGGATATGGTTTTTGCAATGTGTGAAAATAACAGCAGACTAGAAAGAGATCTTGCCGATCAGAAAGTGAAACGTGGAAGACGGAAACTTTTTCTTCACGAAAGTGTTAAATGCAGTCATATAACAGAAAGTGTAAGACTCCTTCTTGATAATTGCAAACCAGAACACGATCTCGCTGCATTTATCAAAAGGCTAATGGAATAACTATTTATGCACAATATTCATAATTACTTTCAATAATCTTTACAAAAAAGCAAAAAAATGTCAATCTGAGGTTCGATGTTCATGCCGTGTGAATGTTTTAAAATTAAACAGATGCCAATATTGAATGAAGCCACGACATGTTTACAACATGACGTCATTTGTTTTAACAATAATAATATTTACTTGTAACACCGCAATGGTCATTTACATGTGCCGTTTATTATTGGCGTTTTCAGGATTTTTAATTACATAATGTAATTAAAGATCTACGATGTGATGTTATGTCTACGTGTCTCATTCACATTGTTACATACGCATGCATGTATATAGTATATAAGGCAAATACTAGCGTCACGTAAGCGTGACAATCCTTTTTTATTTTGTTATGTTTGACGCCATTTATATGCGCTGACTTCCGAAAATCAGGAATTAAACAACGTTATTGAAGAACCAAAATTTTGATTATTCAGTGTTTACACAATACACATAGCACTCCAGTTTCTTGTTTTCAATCTTTAATGCAGATATTGCTAGAAAATTTATATAAATGCACAGAAAAATAAAAAAACAGAGATGAATTAATAGGCAAAGTTTTGCTAAAAATACATTTATAACCAGCACTGATGTGTACAAAAATCAGGAAAATGTAGGTAAATTGAAATGCTCGCCCATATGCTTCTTTGCGGGGACAAGGGAAACAACATGAAGTACACAAAACATCATTATTAATCCCACATGGATTTCAAGTTTAGAATTGAAAACTAGATTTCTTTTGATATACTTGATACATAAGCTCCAGTTTGAGCAGATTCTAACCTCAACTTCTAATAAATGTATTAGAGCCAAATACCTCAAATGATCGAAAATATAAAACAAAAACAGTAAGGTAAAGTATAAACAACATTTTACATTTGCCATACATTAATTTTGTAAGCTATTTCAATGTCAGAACGAATTTCAGAGATAGACGTACATAATAACATCAGTTTTATTTTAGATATATACGTACATTACAAGTTCTGCTTTAATCTAGAACAACTACAACGTTCTGCTTCAATTCCCAACAACCGCAAATACAAACATTATATTGTGAAAACCTAGAGAGTTTGTCTATCTTTATTTTTTGGTGGCTAAAGGTTAGCACGCACAGTCATTCATTCGCCAGCTATTTATATATATAGACTCATAAAAAGACAACAGATAAAGGTTCACTGTCAAATTTTAAGACAATGTTTTGTGGCTATTTTATAAAGTCAAATTATTTATAAATTATAGTGTCAATGAGAAATTCAAGCCTAATTACACATGTCGAATGAACGTCAATTTGTCGAAACACTAAAACATTTAAATGATGTACTAAAAATGTTAAATACCTCTTTTATAGATTTTTGGATTATAAGCAATAAAATACAAAGTACAAATGTTATGTGCTCTTCGTCCACTATATTTTGCCGCAAATTTCGTTTTTACGTTAAGTTTGCTTATCTCATGATGAAATAGTCTGCATTTGTACATGTAATATAGGAGCTTTAGAAATATATATTATAATACAAATACAAGTCATCATTCTTCCATCCAGGTAAGCATTGGTACTACTGTTATCTTCATATTTTTTGTTGAATTAATTAAATTTGTATAATACAATGTATAAGCAGCCGGACAGTGTAATAGATAGATCAGCGGAGCAGTGTTTCGGGTTCGAGTCCCATAAGGCTGCTCATTTTTCTAACCCTATGACATTAGGCGCCCGCCGGTGGGACATGACATCTATCCCTAAGGCAAGAAAAATATAACAACTCTTGTCTGCAGTTGCTTTATGTAGTCATTTATGTACTTTTTTACCTGTTTACCATATACTTCCGTACCTATGCCACTGAAATGATTATTGTACTTTTAGACTTATCCTTTGAAGCTTCTGAATAACTATTTCTGATTTAGTTTTAGATAGCGACAAATTCTGATGCCTGATACAAGCTGTACCAATAAGAAAAAACTTTCATCCAATAAGGTGTTACCCGCCTATAATATATTTTTAATTTAAACAGGAAGAAGATAATGTTTCCTAATTATTACTTAATTTAAACATTATCACCATTTTAGGGGTAACTTTCACATAATTAAATTACTCTGTCTCCCTAATGTGACTTAATTATACTTTACGTTTTTCCAGATGCCTAATAACAAGACACAATCACGTAATTAGCAGATACTATCAGGTAATTAGGTAATCACAAAGGACGTATCCGTAGATACAAAGTACATTGTAATTGAAATTATGACGCGTATATAAGATAACATAATATAAGATAAGAAATTTATTTTCAGTAGTGACATGTATAAAATCAGTGATATGATACATGTGATTATGAGGTGTTTCATGAAATTCGTGACCAGGTCTTTCCTAAACAGAAAGATCGATGTACGAGGCCGATATCTAACTAACACACCGTAAAACTATATTGGCTTGAGCAATCATTTGATGTAATGCACAAATATTATTATTAACACAGCGCATATACAGGTAAGCTTTTATCAATGTTCTGCTTAAATACAATACATATTTTGCATTTAAATTTGCTTTTCCCTTTAAAATAATAATCAAAAAAAAGCTAAATGTGCAATATGCCAATGGAAAAATGAATAGAACTGTAATGGAAGGTATGTTAAAGAATGCATACTTATGTTGATATTATTTCGTATCAGACATCGCGGAATCTAAGACATTTGCCCCGGACAGTTGCCCCCCCCCCCCCCCCGGACGTTTGCCTCTTTTATTTTGCTGTTGCGACTTGTTACTTTGTCAGAGGTCATCTCGTGTATAGTTTTTTTTTGTATGTCAATGGAATGATTATAGTTGTTTTTTGTTTTTTTTGGATGCTATTTTGATTTTCTCAAATTTGCTCGAGATTTTTAGTGTATTTAAAGCAGCACGCCTCAAGATTCATGTAAATTTTCATGAAAATTTGGAAATGAATTTCAAAGTAAATTATTGTAAGGTGAACAAATTTAGTAATTTACATATTGCAATTGGCACTTACAATCCAAGAAAATAACCAAAAAATCGTCAACATATGCAAAAGTAGCCCTTACTGCTTTAGCAGCTCAGTAGAAGTATGGTAATAAAATACTGCAAAATCATTCGTTAACCGCACATAACATGAAAAATATAATTTAGACCTTGAATGTTTTTACCTTTCATTAAATTTTATTACTTTTATCTCAATATTGATTTTCTTGAAATATTTTGGCTCATCTGGAGGCGTGCAGCTTTAATGCGATGAATTTTGGTAACAAACAATTCAACAATTATATATTTTAACGTTTTTAAAACAGGGAGGGGGGAATGCCCGACACTTCCAAAGATATGAGGGGGGCAAATGACAGCCACTGCAAAGAGGGGGACCCTTCCGAGTTGGCAACTGTCCGAAGGATAATGTCCGAATATCCAGCAGACCACGAAAGACTTACATATGTATATTGATGGCAAGTGTGAGATACATGAACCGAAACGTTCTAAAATAAAATATGATTGTTCATCTAAACAAAGCCTAACTCAAAGAAAGAGGGTGGGGGTCATCGGGGATTTTACAATCTTATTGATCCCGCGGGTGGGAATGCTACCAGAGACTTTTCTTTTAACCGTGGGTAGCTGCGGTTTCTAATGCAAAGCGAATATGAAATGGTGAAAAGTTGTGAAATGGACACATTTTTGGTATATTTTTTCGATATGAATTTTTGGTACAATTTTGTACTTGTTTTATTTCCGTACTGCGAATTTTCTAGAACGTTAAAATTGTTCTGGATTAGGTGATTTAAAATCGTAAGAAGTATGCTTTGATAACTGTTCTAGTTTCATATGAATGAACTTGAAGCGTCCATTTTTTATATTATGAACTTAATGACCGAAGAACTAGTTACATACGCGATTCAATAAATGTTAAATGTGTCCTTACTTTGATATGTTATCAATTATTTTTATTCAAAGATTTAATATAAGGATGCTGGAATAATTGTTAAGTGTATTCAATGAACATTATCTTGTTTAAAAAATGTTTCTCGAATTTGTAAGACAGGAACATTATAACAATCATTTACATTTACATTTTTTTTAATTTTTTATTGCGTTTCATGTTTTCTTTGTCTGTGCATAGGCAGGTCTATTTTGCACGTGTTTTTCATGACCAGGTCTGTCTAACTAAAACAGACCTGTGCACATGCAAAAGATAGACCTCATAACGGACTTTCTTTTGTTTAAACAGGTTTATCCGAAAAATATAGACCTGTCACAAACAATACAGGAGGTGTGTAAGCCTTCGTTAACAAAAGCAATGTTTAAAAAAAGTATCAATTACCCCTTGTATATTTAAACTTATCTCAACACGGAGATTTCCACTGCTATTGGACCGTAGTACTGAAAGGAAAGTAACCAGTTTGGATTTTCAAATGCTGCCACACACGCGCTCGCGCACGCACGCACGCACAAATACATGCGTACGCTAAGAACACACAATTGACTAACAGCTTTCACTGTGTACAAAAGTTTTTAATGTTGATGTACATTTTTAATATCCAAACTGTTACTCAATGTCCAATTAACTGAACCATCTGTTATTCTTTTTTTACAATAATTACAATTATTGAGAATTAGTATTGTGTATGGAAGTCAAAATACTACTTCGGAAACATTTTGCTACTTTTTTACAAATTATTTTGCATCTATGGCTACTTTCCTCAGGTAATACGTATCTAATATTCTCTTAAACTTTTATTTAAACATAATAAAATTCAAGTCTGCCCTTTTTTAAGAAGTAAAAATGACTTTCTTTCTGGGGACTAATGTGCCTTGATATTTAATAGTTTTTTATTAATATAAAGGTTTCTTTTATTATGCCCCAACTTCAAAGAAGATGGGCTATATTGCTAAATGCATTTGTCTGTCTGTCGGTCCGTCTGGTTTCCGAGTGATCACTAAAGAACCCTTAGGCATAGGAACTTCAAACTTATTATAGTGATTGGTCATGACCAATAAATGACCCCTATTGATTTTGGGGTCAAGGGGTTAAAGGACAGGGTCACATTGACCTTGTAAGTAAAAACGGTTTCCGATCAATAACTAAAGAACGCTTAGGCATAGGAACTTCGAACTTGGTACGGCGATTAGAAATGACCAGCAATTGATTTTGGGATCAATGGGTCAATGGTCAAGGTCACATTGACTTTGTAAGTAAAAACGGTTTCCGATCTATAACTAAAGAACGCTTTGGCCTAGGAACTTCAAACTTTGAATGGTGATTGGTCATGACCAGCAGATGACCCCTTTCGATTTTGGGGTCAATGGATTAAAGGTCAAGGTCACATTGACCTTGTAATTAAAAACGGTTTCCGATCAATAACTAAAGAACGCTTAGGCCTAGGAACTTCAAAATTGGAATGATGATTGTTCATGACCAGCAGATGACCCCTATCAATTTTGGGGTCAATAGGTCAGTGTCATATTGACCTTGTACATAAAGACGATTTCTGACCAATAAATCAACAACTCTAGTTGCCTTGGTTGATATTTTTATATTAAACTAAAAATTCTTTTGGTATACACATTTCAAGGTCTTAGGAAATATAACAACTTGACTGTCATTAATAAGCCTTCATGATTCATAAAATTTATGCATACATTATTTGGTAAGATTTGTAATAACTTAAATTGCTGCACATAATCTATGGGGTCACAATAATTATTACCTTGTGAGTAGTCATGACCAGTTAATTATAACCCTTATTAACTTTTTATTCACTGGGTCAATAGTCATGCATAATAACCTGATCACATGATTTATTGGCTGCCGATAGGGGGCATACATGTTTTACAAACATATCTTGTTACTTCTTAACTTCAGAGATGCATACTGTACAAAGCGCAGCAAATCATCTTATTTCTGTAAGTTTCTAGTTCTACATTAAATACATCTGTCAAAATAGCTGCGTACACGCCGTGTCTTGCTGATCATCAAATTTCATCAAAATATAACACCTGTACTCATTGTGACCAATTTCCATTAATATAACTTAAAATAGCAGTATATAATTTATGCAAAAACTAGTTCTTCATATATTTTGATACCTTTTATGATAAATACGGAATAAAAACGTATAAATACAAGTAGTTTAAATTGCATTTTAAGGACTTTACGCAAATAGCAGAAAATCAATACATGTCTGTCTCGATAAAACTGTTTAGCTAAATTAAAAGCGAGATATGTAATGCAATGCACATGAAGTATGCTTCGATATCATAAGTAAACATAGATAAGGCTGTTTATGAATTATAGTATAGTGTATAAATTTGTATAGTTTAATCAATTTCTTTGTGTGAGATACTTAGTGATAGTTAATTATAAATACAGAGAACATAGTAAGTACTTGTTTTATTTCCGTACTATTTATCACATTATTTGCTTGTTGCTATAGGTGCTACTTCCAATAAGAGTAAGGAATGGCTATTGGAAGAAATCGCAAAAAAATCGGTCAATTTACTATAATAATTGTAAATGTTACATAGTAATTACGATATACTTGCCAAGCAATAATAAAAATAACCTAATACTTAGCTTTTTTGCGAGAGAGACTGGATTTGAGGAAAGAGTTTTTAATGTAACAATGGGCAATAAAGCGTACTTTTGCAGAAGTTCTTGGTCCTTATATCATATAATCAGATAATGAACGACAATTACGTAAAAGAGATGATTTTATTTTATTACAAATTAAAGAAAATGCTACTTAAATTGTGACACAATATATATTTTCGGATGCGAAATTTTATTCGTATTTAAAATTTTATTTCAATATCTAAATTTGCCCCTAACTTGGACTGAATCCCGCCTGAGGTTCATTCATGTGAGGAAGCTTTCCAACATTGATCAGGTGTCCGTTTATGCCTGAAATACTGTATCTTAATAAGGACTTTCACCGACAGCAAAACTGGAAAGTCACCATATGCCTTTTAAAACCTCAATGTGGCTTAAAGTCTTATTAATCAATCAATCAATCAATCGATCATGTATTGTTAAACTAGATTTCAGTTTCCAGCATTTAAAAAAATTGATATCAGTCGTCAAACTCAAGCGATAAAGAAATATTGTTCGTCTTTTAAAGATCATAAATGGTGAATTCTTACCCAAACCTTTTTGAGTAGTGTTTCTGTCTGTTTAAAAGAAATCAAGTAAATAAACCCCGACATGTAAGACACAATCAGTGTCAGTGAACAACCTTTTTCTATCATCCCTCATGTTCCATGGTAAAACATATTTTTATTTTTGAATTTAAATCAAACTATTTGCTTCCGTTTTATACACAGTTACAAATATAAAGTTTTAAGAAATGAGAGTCATCTAAAACCTATTTATATACTTTTTGAAAACTAAAATGAATATCTGTATGACAAAATATTACTAAAATTCATTTTATAACCCTTAAAAGTTTGTCCTAAGGTTATACGCAAACTTGTGAGGATTTATTTTGGCCAAAATTGCATGTAGAAATGTAGGAAGCGATAAAACCATATCAAAAAATATGCATGTATAGCATTCAGTGTAGGTTAACAAAGATAAGGTTATAGAGTTATATATGTTATCTTAGAGTCAATAAATTTTAATTTCTTTATGTAAGCTACTTTGTGTTAGGTCCTGGTTAAGTTTTATTTCCATACTGTTAAAGCACATTATGTTGTTATTGATTCATGACAAAACTGAGTTAGACATAGAGAATAGAAATAACTATCAACTATGTTCATCTTCTTACGTCTTTTTTGACGGTACATTGTTAAATTTTGAGGATATTATAAATTGCAAAACTGAATTCTGTTGGACAGGTACGTGGCTGTCAAATCTACATGTATGTTGTAGCAGACACAGGCCAAGTTTGATATAGGTTTTGCCACTGTGCACTAGTCCATTGGAATGAATATTGTTATCAACAATGTATAGAAACCTCTTTATTTCACAACATGATATTTTGACATTTTGTCAGAAATTCGTTCTTCAAGTATAAAAGGATTTGATATGAATTTTAGACATGAAAACAAGGCTAGATGGAGTACGATATGCATTTTATACCGATATTTTGGACATTGAAAATGAAAACGAGACTACATAGGTTGATAAAAATAAGCCTGACTTGAAACGAGACCAAAAGGTTAGGATTAGATGTGTTGATGATTGCTATTGATACAGTACGTGGTTCAAATGCTGAAGGCCCTTTACTTATAAATTTAATTTATTAAGTGTAGAATATATATCTATACTTTTGGTTGAGTTTAAAGTCGCACCAACATAGTAGAGGTCATATGGCGACTTTGCATCATTTAAGGCAAGGTAGGGTACCTATGAAAGTGTTTTAAAAGATTACGTACATTGTTATAATTTGTGTCCTCGGCCAAATAATATGTTTCCAAAACTCGTAAGGAAAATACACATAACTAGACGGGAAGTTAAGTGTCCTCTCGAAATGGAAAAATGTGTGGTTGAAAAAATTAATCGTTATCAAATTAAACCAACATAGATAGCTACATTTGTTTTAAAGGAGCTAAACTAAGATTACAAAATCTAGAAACATAAAGTTTGAAACATTTTAACAAAAATCAAGTGAAGGACTTAAAATTGGGAAATATGCAAAGGATAATAAGAAAGGTACTCAGAATTAAATTGAAAATTGAAAGGATGTGCGATTTTCAGTTCGATTTGATTAAAGAGCATTTTCAAAAGCTTTCATTTTTGGGTCAGTGGAGTGGGGCTTTAATAGAGACCTATAACTTATTATACAATAAGTTGAGCTTCTTTTTTATCATCAGATAATTCGTAACTAGAAAAATGCTTTCAGTGTAATTCGATATCTTTTTCATTTCAGATTTTAGTTTAACCATGTTGCGGTCAGTATGTTTCAAGAACTTTGTGAAATTTAAAGAGTATCAAGTGATGGATTTTTCGGGGAGAGGACCTTTCATATTTATAGGTGAAAATTGTACAGGTAAAAGCTCAGTTTTTGAAGGCATTAGACGGTGTTTAAAGTTAGAGTACAGTACATCAATTTCTTCAGTGTTTGATGAAAACTTTCCGTCTTATTTCATTTGCAATTTTGAAACAGGATTGTCAGGAAGTAATGAAAATATTATTTCTGGGATTGTAAGACTTCCATTGACAAATCGATGCAAGAACGAAAGTGATGAATCTATGCACACAGTGCAAAGCTCTGACGAAAGGTTGTATAATGAAGATATGCAAGATGAACAAAAAGGAAAACAAACTGAACCTGATTTAAGCACTGACATGGAATCAACTAGTCAGCAATTAAAACGACAAAGAAATTCGAGTCGAGATAATCCTCTAAGTATTTCGGGACCAGCAACAAAGAGAGATGTTGACCTGAAAAAGATATCAATTGGAGAAGATGTGAAGGAAAAAAATGATTTAAAAAGTGAAAATTACTATAAATTTGCCATGAAGTGTTCTGAGGAACATCCAATGTTTATCAACTCAGTTGAAAAATCTAAAGACAAGAAAAAATTAGAAGTTTTACAATATTATATTGTACAGAACACTGACAGTCTAAAAAAGCTTTTTGTCGACTCGATTTTAAAACAAAAGTCGGACAGCAAAGATGTAGACAAGTACATATGCACAGAATTTAAAAGTATAGAAGATCGACGAGTAGAAAGTAACAAAGGACTAGAGTCCATATTGAGTATCTTAACGGAAGAAATTGTGGTTACATTCCCTTTACGTTCAATTGGGCCTTTACAATGGTCTAAAAGTAAACGCATCGCTGGGGAATTTCGAGAAGACAATTACAGGGAAGCAGAGATTAGATGTGAAATCATGAAATATTTCTTAGAAGACAAAGGCGAAATTTTCGACAAGACAAAAGAGGAACTTATTTTTAAACAATTAACACAGATTAAAGATTACGACTTTCAACTGGGCAAAGATGGCAAGATCGATTTACCAAAAGGTAAATTTGCTCTTCTTAAAACGCCAGAAGGAATCTTAGAGGCAAAGACATTTTCTATCCTGTTATCAAGCAAGCAATACAAGACTATTTTGCTTGAGGAGCCTGACCGAGGAATGCACCCACAGCTCGTGGCCAGAATGATACAGATAATGAATCAAGAAAAGGGCAACAAACGTGTTATACTTACTACACACCAAAAAGAGTTTATATCACCTTGGACAGTTTCAGACACATTCATCTTTAGACGTTCTAAAACAAAGCATCGTATCATATCTGGCAAGCAGCTTTTAGGTGAAGAAAAGGATGCCAGTATGAAAGATATGAGATTAGCAACATCACAGCATATATCGGATATTTTCTTTGCAAGGAAAGTTTTATTTTATGAAGGTGAATCGGAGAAACTTTTTCTCGGAGAACTTAAACGTCAGATTCTGACTAGTGAATGTAGTATCACTTCAAAGTTGTTCAATGGAGATGAAGACGAATGCGAGAAATTGAAGCGCAGTATGATGAAATATACTTTTATCGAATTGAATGGTAAAGATCTAAGTACATTTTATCATACAATATCTGACAAGCTTGAGCTAAATCATCTGTTCCTTTTGGATACGGATAAAAATAAATCTGAACAAGTGAAACCTGAACGAATCTTTTATTGGAAAGATGGCGACATTGAGAAAATGGTGATTGAAATGTGTAAAGCCGACGATGAACTTGCAAACGGTCTTGTTCAACAGAATGTGATTTCTTTAGATAGTGCTAACAGAACTTTGCGTATAAAAAAAAAACGCAAAAACAAAAAACGCAAACTTTTTCTTAATGAACGTATTACATGTAGTAATATCACAGAGAGCGTAAGACTTTTACTCGAACACTGCAAACCAAATGACGACCTTGCTGCATTTATCAAAAGGTTAATGTATTTACCTTTCTAATATGGACTGTTCATAAGCTTATAAAATGTGATTCCCGACAAAAGAAATGAAACCATAAAGTAGAAGATTAATCTTGCAGACTCGATTAGTTAAAATTTATTCTTGAGAGATTATAAAAGGTGCAACCATTCTTAAGCCTAACGAACAGATTGTATAAATCAAACATACCAGAAAGAGTTTATTTGAAAGTATTGGCCGACCTGTAAAGTGTTCTGTTTTGAGTATATTTGCAATTGTTAATTCTGTCTTTATTCCGTCTGTCTAATGACTCCATGTATATACAATCAGACATGTTATATTTCCTGTCCCCGAGATCGTTCTATCATGACATTAATTCTTTTTGTAATGTGATATTCAAGTTACATTAACTTACTGTTTTTCTACTTTATTGGACTGTGACTGCTAGAATTAAACCAATAATGTTTGGTTAAAGTAAACAAATCGAACAGAATGATTGACTGGTAAACTAGCTGTCTGTATTCACCCCTTGCAAAAAGCATAAAAACCAATGAATAAATAAATGAAAAATAAATAAATAAATAAATAAAGGGCAGCTGGTTTAAAAACGAGATAGGTTGTTGACCCCATTTTATACGCTAAAATGTTTCTTTTATCATATTTTAAGATAATGCAAAGCTTTAATGAACTCCTTTGACTATTTTTCAACCAGCCGTTATGTCAATTATGCAAATGGTAGTAGTAACATATGCAAGTGATGCATTGTTACTGATAAAAAGATCTGATATTCATAACCTACTTAAAATTGCTTTCTAGCTGCACTGTATCATCATCAAAATGTTTTGGGTAGATAATAACAATTGCTTCAAAACAATTTAATCGGCAAGGCCAAGTGGATGACTATTTGGAATGATTATCTACAAGATAACTGGCTTCATGGGTTCAATCCCCGTCAGCAGGTTGTTTCCTTCAGCAAAAAACCTTACACTCATTGCTTTATACTGGTTGGTTCCAGCAACGGATTTGAAAGTGTTAAACTGATAGCTTCCGAAATAAATCGAACTAAAATAATGTCTGCAATCGGAACACCCTCGGCTATTATTTAAAATAACCTCGGAAACAATACGGATCGAAAGTAGTTCTACCACGTGATTTCAGATGTACACATTTAGAGAGAATGTAATAACAAATGTACATATAATTGACATCCAAAAGAAAATTAAGTCTGTTTTGGTACTATTTTGATTGAAAGTAAGTCTGACAACCATTTTTAATTTAAATATGCCCACTGATGTACAATTGGAAACAAATCCGACTAAATGTCAGCAGGTTGACATTTTGTACTTTCACTTTCGACAACCATAATAATGGATATACAAATAATGTATTTGTTTGCTTCTGTATCTATGAATTCACTTGTTTTATGTGGGCATTTGCTAAATAAAATTGAAATAAACTTGTCAACATCTCCCAGCATTAAATTTTTATTTGTTTTTACATGTCTAGTTTCTTAGCGTAGGTTAGACCGAATACCGTATCCGTTCTGAGTATTCATACTATTGTCTTCGAAGTCCTTGTCCGACTGACGAAAAGGGTCGGAAAGGTGTGATTGTAAATTCTGTATAAACTATATTAAATCAAAAGTAATTGATAGATTAGCTTTTAACATAGAATAGTATAAACATGTTTATAACATTATAATCATTTTCCGCAATTTTACAATATGACCTGGCATACAAAATGCATAAATCTTCGAATGTCGAATACTAGGAAAAGCGCATTCTCGTCTGTTACATAAATCATACATACATTTAGGCACAACTATTAAGACCACACATTATCATTTTAGTCCATCAGTTTCTGTCAAAAGCTTCGAATTTGTCTTCAAATCTTAAAAAGTTAAAAAGACTGCACAGTTTGTTTAATTTGCAGGATTTTAAGTCAGACAGACTTTGTAAAGGCAATATGGCGACCTTCCAGCTTAATTTGTGGAGAAATGTATAATTCGTTTTTTATTTTGTACCATTACAAATTATGATATTTAACATGAAAAGATAAATAAATCTTCGTCGCAGCTGAATAGCAAAATCTTATCTATAAAGAAAGGGCAAAAAGCAGGTATTGACAGGAATTAAACAAGCACTATAAATACGTGTCCTTCTGTCTTATCTCTTCATTTATTTGATAACACTGTTTATTTAGTTATATTTCTACATTGACTTAAGAGCTGTTCAAATAGGTAAATATATAAAAAATATTGTACCTTGATCCGTTTTGCTTGTGAAGTGAAGTGTACTTAAGTAAACAAAGACTTTATGGTAACTCATTGAACAAAGTAAAATTTATAGAACATTTTAATACTCGTTTTGTTTCTCCGATTTTTTTGTATATGTGTGTGTGTATTAGTTTAGGAGAATGCATTGTTATTAATGGCGTACTGAAAGATAGTCTTGATTAATCCAGAACGATAAGTAAGTATACTAGCTCTATTAATAATTTACTATAATAGCATTATAAATGCTATATACATGTTTTGCTATCAGTTAATACATGAAATTCAATATGATTCAAGGTAAATACGCAAAATAAAAACTTAAAACAAGATCTAACATAAATATTTGGTATAACTGAATATTACTTTTTTTACTTTAATTGACTTAGCCTCCTGAATGTTTATTAGAATCTACCTGGAATATTGGCTAAAGTGTAGTGTGTTTCCAAGGTAACAACGCATCGATTATATCAGATATTTATCAGAACATTATGGATTCGGTATGCGCCGTGGAAAACATCTATAAACCTTTCGTACAAGTGCTTTGAGTAAAAAACCAATATTGCCTTGCATTTTGCGTAACATTATATTGAAACAAATGCTAAAATACATTCAAGGCAGTGCTTCTCTTTTATTATTCAAAAACACATCGGGATTTTAGATTCGTAAGTATTACTCGTCAATTTAATAATATTGATTTAGATTTGTTTATTGAATATCGGATTTGCATTTAAGTTAATATTGTAGGTAATGTAAAATATTTTAAAGCTGCTTTATATTGACAGGTTTGTTTTACAAGTAGATTAATGCATTTCAATTGACGTGACGCATTCAATATCGATATTCTATTGTTGTGATCATATTTAAGATCATATTCCAACGTTAACCCGTTTTAGACCAGCGGCAAGTCATGAACTGTTTACTATGGTTTACAGTATAATACAAGTAAAATGGTTTCCTGCGGGGAACATTTTTAATGATATAAAGATATTTCATTTAACTATTTTCAACATTGTTTGGGGGATTAATAAACGTTTGTACCAGGAATAAAGTTGACAATAATCGATCAATATAGAAGAGGTCTTTGGAAACTGGTGACCGTTGAAGACCTGAGACCGGAGAAGGTCGAACATAAAACAATTATGTCTTTTTAAGAAAATGATTAAATACCATTTTCTGAATAATTCCGAGCAAAAAAATAAAGTAAACACACAAGTTTACGCAGAAAATATCTCTATTTAGTATGGCAGATGCCACTACGAATATTTTAATTTTGTAGATTTTCAGTATAATCAATTTATTGTTTGTAACATTTGAGATAGATATTAAAGAAACATTGATAATTTTCAAACACATCATTCAAGTTTTTCCTCTTTAAACGGTAAAATAATTATAGAAAATTAGAAATATCACGTAATAGTTTTTTGTTGTTGTTAATTAGGTGTTCTCTAGAGGTAAATCCGTAACGTACCGGCAAACGGTATTTAGCTAGGTTTTCGAAAAGGTCAATTAACCAATCATGTACGGTTTACAGATCACATGCTCCTCCATGTACCGAAAACAGGTCCCGCGCTCCTCCATGCCTCAAAAGTTAAACGCGTACCAATACCCTGCGGTCTCCAGACCGCAGGGAATAATCGACTGTGCATTCATATCTATGAGGGAAGAATATGAAATATTTCTAAAAATACTTGGGAAAGATTAGGCTAAAGCTCAAAGGTAATTGCATTTCATTAATGTAATAAAAAGATTTGATGGTACTTGAACAATTAAGCTTAAACAGGAAAATTTATCAAAGAAATTAAATAAAGTTCCGTCTTTTTTATAGTTGTCGTAACATTATTTATTTTCCGGTGTTTTCACGGAAACTTTGTCTTAAAGTTTCTCTTAATATTGTCTGAATATTGTCTAAATTTGATAAAAAAAAAAGAAAACAAAAACAAAAACAAACAAACAAACTAGATTTAGTATCGAATCATCACATTAAAATTGTTTTACTAAGACAATACACAGTAATACTTCAATATACGTCATTCGTAAAATAAATGAATGTGCAAGTAAGTAAACTATGCTTCCGAGATGCTGTATTGGATCAAAATAAAAAACTCTATAAGATATGCACCGATATTCATAACCGAAGTTATTATAACTGTTTCACGGATACAAGACATACATGTATATATTAACATACACTTTTTATCTTTATGGCACAGTATTCTTAATCTTCAAAGAGGACAGATCTTTGTTAAATTACATTTAAATAATGGATTTGATATATATTAGATTCTCGTAACGGGGAATAAGTGTCACTGAATGTGACATAGCTTGTCAGTAGTATAGCAAATCTTAAACAAATCGGTATTTTGACTTTCGTAGATAATAACTACTGTACTTATCGCCAAATAGTAAAAGAAGTTAAAGGTGGCACAGGATCAATAAGTACTTTTCCTGAAAGGTTTTCAATATAAAAAGTATTTGATAAGTGGTAATTATATCATTTTTGGCTTAATAGGCCTTTAAAAGCTTGGCCTCCCTAGAACTAAGACACTCGTTCAAAGTCAGGACAAATCACTTATCACTTATTTTAAGTATATAATTCTTACCAGGCTTTGACGCCACATGTTTCAATATACATTTTAAATTTTGTGTAAATCTTGACTTTATCTTGACAGTAAATGTGCGTGTTATATTGTTTGTATTCTAAACGTTCTTCGTGTGTTTCTCTTTGTGATTTGCAGTGAGCAATGATAAAACAATAGATTCTATTGCTAAGTACAGAAGAAATCCGATAGAGTAACAAAATATACATTCCGTACATTATATTTTAAAAAGGAAACTTCTTTTACACGGATTATATTCAAAAATTCAAAATGTATCTCCTATATTGATATCAAATATAAAGATTGATCTATTTTGACTTCTTGACATATTCAGACTTCCTTTTTGATGTTGATCTTTTCCTAGAAGAAAAATTGCATAAGAATAGAAAATAAAATAGAATTCAAACAAAATTTACCTGTAATTATCAGTATTATTCATATTAATCTATCTTGTCACTTCAGAACTTCAACTAAGTATGCTTCGGTCTGTCTGTTTTAAGAACTTCGTGAAGTTTAAAGAACATCAGAGGATGGACTTTTCAAGTGATGGGCCTTTTATCCTTATCGGGGAAAATGGTTCAGGCAAAAGTTCCGTTTTAGAAGGTATCAGGCGGTGTTTGGAATTGAATCTGAGTACATCATTTTCCTCAGTGTATAATCCAAATGAGATTTCTTATTTCATTTGCAATGTTGAGGCTGTTATTTCAAAAAATAAGAAAAATGTAATATTCGGTATCGTGTCTATACCTGGAGATACGGAGCAAAGTACAGAAATGCAAAGACGTAATACCGAAGAAATGATGGAAGCTGAACATTATTCAGACGAATCTGAAATAGAAGGAAAGCACATTGGACATAGGAAGATGAGTGTTGACGAAGACAAAAGAAGTCCAACTGGACGCAGAAAACTAAATGTTGAGGAAGAATTGGCAATCCAACAAGTAAAAACGACAAAGAGTTCCAAGCATAGAAACGCGTAAGTCTGAAAACATGGCAGAAAAAAATGAAGAGCAATGATTTTATTCCGTCTTTAGAATCTCAAAGACTTTTTACCTAGAAAGAATGCAACAGGAAGTAGCAGATGTCGGTATTATAAGTTTGCCTCATTAAAAGATAATACAATATGGATTAGTTTAATTGATCAATCAATAAATTCTAATGGGGAAGCAGACCTGCTCGCCGTTTCTGAAAGTTACATGCCATCCAACGATCATCAATTCAACAAAACTTTGTCAAAAACAAAATCCCAACGAAAACGATATAGATACTTCCATCAAGTCGATATTTGGAAACCTTCACAATGTCCCAAAAAACAGCTCCAGAAGAATTAGAAACATTATTGTGCTCATTAACAGAGCAGTTGTATTTACATTTCCCCTGCGTTCAATTGGTCCTTTACAGTGTCTAAAAGTAATCGTATCGATATAGGGCAACGGAATAAATTAAAAAGAAGCTAACGAGAGTAAATAATAAAAATTTCTTAAAAACGGAAGAGTGAAAAGGGAAAGGAACAAAAAGTATTTCGACATTACTATTGAAAGGCATACTTCAATTCAAATTAACAATGAGACAAACCAACAGAGGGGACTTGTTTTCTAAAAACACAAAAAGAATTTTTAGAACAAAAACTCTTCCTTTTTTTCAAGTGGGATTTTCAAGCCCATTTTGCTTGAGGAGCCAAAAAGAAGCCCCCAAAATTTTAGAAAAAGAATATTCAGATAATGAAGAAGAGAAAAAAAAACAAAAGAGAAACAAAAAACCAAAAGGTTTTTAACCCCCGGACAGTACCGACATATTCTTTTTGGCACAGGGGAAAAGAAAATCAAAAAAATTCCCGCAAGCAAAAACGGGAAAAAAAATTGAAATAGAAGACAATGAGATTATTAACATCGCATCATGTGCCAGACATTTTATTTGCAAAGAAAGCTTTGTTTTATGAAGGTGACTCTGAACAACTTTTTTCTCGAAGAACTTAAGAGTCAAATTCTGGCTGGGAAAGTAGTATCACCCCAAAACTGTTTAAATGCAGATAATGTTGTCGCAGCAAACAATCAGCTTAAGGAGTGTCTGATGGATTATACGTTAATTAAAATGAACAGTAAGGACAATCGTGAGTTTTATACAATAGTAGCTGACAATCTTAAGCTGGATTATTTAGTTGTTGTAGATCGGGATGCTGTTTTCCGGGTATACTCCCTGGAAAAATAAACCAAAAGACATTAGGATACATGAAAGGGAAGCAGCAAAGTCAAGATCACAGGCCGAATGGAAAGTTATCAAAACTCACTAATGCAATCAAACCATATATCATTTTTTGGTTAGATGGCAGCATTGAAGATATGGTAACATTGATGTGTGAGGAAAATATCTTAAAGCGTCCCTTAAAAGAAAAGGAAGATAAACAAACAAGATTCCATGAGGGGTTTTTGGGCGAGTCAAATTTATGAAAAAAATTTTTTCAAACGACCATTGACATTGGAAATTTAAGAGAGGAAAGCCCTTTTTGGGTCACGCAACCAACAACGATCTTGCTGATTTTTTTAATACCGCGAAAAAAAACCCAAAAAAGAGTTCAAAATCTTTCCTGGGTAGCTTGAAATAATAGATAGTTTTCGTTTTATTAAAAAAGCCAAAATATTTTTGCTTAAAGAAAATGATTACAAAAACTTTAAAAAAATTTTTCTCAGTCACAGCGACCTTTAAAAAAAGTTGCACTTTTTTTGTTTTTTTCATTGTTGTTAATTTTTATATTTTTTTTGTTTGACGTGATTTTCAAAACATTGAGGATTGAATACGCCGGGCTAGGGAATGAGAGTTTTTGTAATAACATTTTATGTTTTACTGAATTTGAACATTTAAAGAAAAAACAATTTTTAGGAAATGAAAAAAACTTAAAATTTTTTTTAAAAAATTTTGATAAATTTATTCAATTGTTCCCAATAAAGAAGGGGAAGAGATAAAGTTTGAGTTTTCAAAGCTTAAAAAGTTTTTTAAAAACAAATTAAACTTTTTTAAAACATTTAAAAAAAAATAATTCAATATTAAAAAAGCTGAAAATTAAAAAAAAAAATTTCTGACAAAAGTCCAGCCTATGTTCAATAATTTTTTTATTTTTTATTTTTAAATCATTTTATTTTTTTCATGTTTTTTAATTTTAGTTGAGTTTAGTTATTAAAAATACATGGGGAAAAAAAAAAAAAACGACAATTATTTAACAAATTTATATATAACTTTATTTTTAACTAGTAATATGATATTATCAGTAGTTTTTATTCACTTCTCTTCCTTTTTACGGCACGTTTGAGAAGGACAGGGCATGGCAAAGATTAAGAACAGAGATTGAAAAAAATAAAGACCCAAACATTACCAAAAAGTCAGCTGCCCCTTTTACGAACCGAGGGAGTGACCATACAAGCGTAGGGGAAAGAAAAGAAGAGAGCCCCAAAACAGGGGGGTTGGCTTTAAAGGCAACCCCCGGGCACAGCGGTGTATTATGATCCATGCTATTCTTTCACTTTGAACCACCTTGGCAAGTTGCAGTTTTACCAACGGTCACGTACCTTTTAACATTTCCAATTTTTAAAAAAGACTACAAACAAAAAATTACTGAAAATCATTCATTATACCTTAAAACAAAACAATTTCCTCGAAAAAAACCGTTGTAATTGAAACATACCATTTATAATTTTTAAAAACAGCAAATTTTCACTACAGTACTTAGAGTTTTAATGTTTACAGAAAAATCTAAATTTGAGACAACTATTGGACCGATGACATGTATAGTCAATGAAGACCCAAAAAACGTTCGGCTTGATTTTAACACCCAAGTTAAAGCTGCGAAAAACCAAGTGAGAACAAATTTTCTCTTCCTTTGTGTTACCAAAAATTAAACCAAGAATTCCCGTCTTAAGGGAAGAAACCAAAGAAATGTGACAAACACAATATCAAAGATATACAGTAAATTGCATCAATAAAAGACAAAAACAAAAAACAAAAATTTGAATTCTTTTGTTAATTTCCATGTTTAATTTTTGAAAAAAAATGTATTTTTTCATTAGTGTAATCAAAATGGGAAAATTTTTACACAAACATTTCTTTCTTTTAAAGTAAAAGTTTTTAGGGCCACAATTACCTTAATTAGTATTTTTACAATTTTAAAAAGCAAAAAAAAAAATATAAACAAATAATTGTTCTTAGGGTTTAAAAAGATCATATTAACAAAACTCTCGGGAAGACAGCAACGTCGACAAAATTTTAGTACTTTTAGAAAAAAACCCTTTTAAAAATTTTTAAATTTAGTCCTAGAAAATCTCCAAAAAAGAGAAAACATTTCAATTGTTTTAAAGACGATGTCAATAGAAATGAAAATTCGGGGGTGTTCAAACTTAAAAGTAAATTCTAAGTAGAAAAAAAGGGGATTATTTTTGCCCAAAGCTTTTTAGAGTACCCCTCCGTCTAAAAAGTTTGGGTCAGATGGGGAAAAGGTGGGCAAGTTCTATGGAAAAAAAGGGGGGAACAAAAATTTTTAAAATTTTAAATGAAAAAGGGGGAAATCACAAAAAGCTGTACAGTTACTCTCTTCACAGGTTTGGGGCATAGTGAACAATGGGGTATTGAAAAAATTGGAACAAAAGAATTTAAAACAAAACCTTTTCAAATGACGCACCCGACGCGCCGGGACCCAAAAGCTTTTTTTTTTTTCAAAGTCGAGCTAAAAAGAGAGGGGCAAAAACAAAAAGAAGGGGTTATAAATTCAAATGATTGCAACCCCTCTCATGTTAAGTATTCCAAAAATTAAAATCTCTCTTCTTTAAAAATTTTTAATTTTTAAAAGTTCACTTAACGTATGCACCCCTAAGCTACCCCCCTTGTAAGTAAAAAAATAACTGTTAAAGCAACGAATGAAATAAGGGGGGGTTTCAACCCCCGAACGGGGAAAGTTTTTTTTCTTTTTTTTTCATTATCTATGTTTTACCGCTCTTTAAAAGAAAATTTTAAATTTTTAAAATTTTAGCTAATGGTAAATTTATGTCAATTTTAATCGGTCTAAGAAAAGAAGAAATAGGTTTTAAAAAAACAAAAAAGTCAAAAAAAAGGGGACGGGAAAAAAATTTTTTTTTTCCAAATAACCATTTAAATTTTAAAAAAATTAGGGGAAAATCCTTTTAATGCTAACCCATGTTTTCATAAGTGTCCCTTAGCAAAATACAATATACAATCTTAAAAAAAGAACGAACTTTAGCAGGTTCGTAGGGGGTAGTCGTTTTTTTTTTGGAAAATTCTTATAATAATAAATAGAATAAGTATTTACATTGTCTAGACAGCGGCATCGTTTTTTCTAAGTAAAGCATCCACACATTTAAAAAAGCCCCGGGGGCAAATAATTTCATATCCCCCAAAATTAAATGAAAAAATTTTAAAAGGAGGTCCCCAAAAAGATAATTTTTTAAAAATTTAATTTTTATTTTATTATATTTTGCACTTTTATTAAGGATTTTAAAAAACCTGTAATTGCAATGTTTCAGATATCTTATGGTGATATATCTATATAATAAGCACATATACAAGATGTTAGATTATAAAACATTTAAATCTATTTATATTCATGACAGATTAGTTTTGATTTTCGATAGCAAATTTCTAATTCAGTTAAAACGCAGTCAGTTACAAAAAAATGATTTTAAGTAATTAATGATAAATGTAGTTTCATTTATAGAGTGAAACATTATTATTGACTTTTAGTATTCTGTTATAATGGCTAACATGAAAAAGTCAATTGACAAACACCGAGTGATCAATAAAAATACAGATATTAGCTGAGAAAATTAAAGATTAACATGGCAGAACGAACAGAAAGATCAAAATAACCAGCAAGGTAAAGTTATAATAGTCAGAAAAAAAGTTAATCAGAAAAAAAGATAGAAAGAAATTTCAAGAAAACAATACTGGAATTTAAGAGTTTATTGTCACCATACAGAAAAA